ACTGAGCAGGAGTCCCCTTTCTCCTTCTATGTGTCCTGTAGGCTGAAGGAATTTCCTATGGTCAGTTATTGTGAATTTGTATCCCTCTGAGGTAGGAAGATGCCAGGTCATACTGAAAAACCAGGTATTTGTCGCTGAATTCATCCCATAAGCACTTGGCTGTGTAAGAGGTGTCATTGCCCTGTGCTTCCTGGTAGTCAGTGTAGCTTTGGGCACCTTCAGATGGAAGTCAACCCATCTCAGCTCAGAACTGCCTTCCAAAAATTCCTGTTCTTCTCTTTGATAACTCAACCTCAGTGCTCCAGTCAAACCACCCAATGTTTTTGGAAGGGACACAGGGTCTGGGGTCAACAGCATAAATAGAGAAGAGACTCCAGAGCAATGCCAGGTTAGCACCTGGTTGTCATAGAGATCACTTTCCCTCCAGAGTTCAATAGTCATATTTAGCAAGTGTGTCTGATATCAGAGATGTTCAATGTTGCCTGTTTTGTTTGTTTCCTCATGTTACTTCCAGAAGGCTTCTCCAAAAAGCTTCAAGAGTTGAGGTGGGTTCAGACAGCTACAGTGGATCCACATAAAGGAGACTGGAGCATCTCTTAGGATCTTGAAGTCTTGGGGATGCATCAGTAAAGAAAGGTTAGTGGCCCCTTTGCTGTGAACAATATCCACCAGCAGCAACTGAGTGCAGCTGTTACCAACAGGGAGAATAAATGCTGAGTGGTTGTGGCTATGTCTTCATAGCATCTGAAAATCTCACGCTTATTTTAAACCTCACCAGGAAAAAATACTGTTGGGTTTTACAAAGCAGAAACATCACTGCAGAGCTTCTACAGCCTGTATTTACAAGACTGCACTGTTCAGTTCCCTCTGAAATTGAGATGTGGAGCATGTATATTTTTAAAAAGCGTGTCCTTACTCACATAATTTAACTGTTAGAGGTTAAGTGCAAAGCAGTCACGTGACAGCCCTTTGCAGTCAATACAGAGAGAAGCTAGTATCTCCGGAGAGTGATTCACGTCCCTTTTCTTACATACTTATCTGAGACGTGAAAAAGAAGGTGTCTGTCTCTCTCTTTCCACTAGCTGCAAAGGGAGCCTGGTTGCTGAGGTTTTAGAGAGCTATTTTCAGGCAAGAGAAATTCCAGTGTAAGAGATTTTGCCAAGGTCAACCTTGAAGTTTATGGAAGTGGGACCTGGAGTCCCAGGCTAGTGCTTTAAATCACCGAGCCATCTGTAACAGGCCTGTAATCTGCATCAAGAAGGGCAACAAAGCTCTGGAGCTAAGAAAAAATTTAATCTCTTCCTATGATTCCTGTTTGCTCTCTCCCTGCGAATCAGAAGGGAACTAAATTTCTGCTTGGAAAGTAGCACAGTCACCTGCTTCAGATGGGAAGGCAACCTGGGACATGACTGGAGGAGACAGCTGAAAAATTACCGATTTTGGAGGGAAAGGAGTAGTGCAAAAAAGAGATATGGAGATGCTGAAATTCTCTATACTGCCACAGCAGTGAACTGTGGGCTTTACAGCAGAGGAGCCCAGGGGGCTGCAATAGCTAGAGAAGATCCTGGAGGGCTGTGATGGGCACAGTGATCCCTGCAGGACCATCACCCTGGAAAAACACAATTTCTTTGCAGCGAGCACCTGTCAGTTGATAGGCTTGTGCTCAGTGGTACAGGCTCCATGAATAATAGAGAAATCATTTGAACAATTAGCTAATTAGGGCTAATGAGAGCCTGAATCACTTATGGCACACCTAGGGCTGATGAGGAATTCCTTGAAAAAAGGGCTTTTTGTCAGCAAACACTGATTCATCAGTGTGGTAATGAGCTGTCCTGCTTCTTACGAACATTTATCAGACTGCGGGGTAATGCCTGGTGGTTAGGCTCATCTCTAGACCTACCTGTGCCTGCTCACTCCCAAACAGACAGCTGTTGTAGCATGCTCTTGCGGTGCAGGATACTGATAGCACAAAACCCTGTATTTTTAAGCCTCCCAGAGTAACTGGGTTTCTTTTTTGCTTATGCTACTAGAGAAAATGTTCACAGCATAGCACCCTCACACAGCCTGCAATGATCTGGTGGCCCCATGAAAAAAGAAAAACCACAGTGCAATTGGGCTGTGAACAGTAGGATGGTGCATGACCAGGGTGATGGGTGACGCATAACACTTGAGCCAACTTTTCTACAGGGCTGCTGTTTGTGTAGGGAGCTTAGCCTTATGTTAAGATACCTGAAGCCAAGCCTCTGCAATTGTTCTTTCCTCTTCTATGCTAAAGCATAGAGGTGATCAGAAAAGCATTGACTTCAAGGGATGTGGCCTCACAAGGGCCTTGAAAAGAAGCAGTTTGTAAAAGCACATTGCTCTCATAAGAAACCATAAAGAAATAGAAAAGAAATACAGTGAACAGCTAGAGGGCAAAACTTTGGGATTGTGACAGAATGCTTGGCTGAGTCATAACGACTTTACCAAGAAAAGCTCTACCAAGGATCAACACTGAAAACAAATGAAGAAAGCAGGGCATTTCAGAACAGTTACTGAGGTTGAATGAAACACAATTGCAGAGAGCAGGTATGAAACACTTAGCCACAGACCTTTACAGTGAAAAAAAAAAAAAAAATCCACCCAAAAGGAAAAAAATGCTGAAGTAAACTTGTTTCCTATCACAGGCATTAAATGAAACTACGTTCCAGAGCAGCTCTGTCATATTTGTACAAACACAACCACTGCACAATGGTTAGTAATCAGAATAGTTTAACTTATGGGGCTAAATATGACTCTTACATCCTTATTTAGATACTTGGCTTTTACGATGTGGTCTTGGAGCCTTTCTGCATCTTCCTTTCCCAGTCTCTGTAGTATGTAATGCAATACTTTGCTTTGCTCCAAGGCGATACTTTTCTTTACAGTTTCTTTGTTTCCCTCCGTTGCAGCAGTTTTGTCCTAGTGTCTTGTGTAGAAGTTGTGCTGATACCATTTGTATATGGATTGTATGTATATACATATGTGTGTGGGGGTGTAACTGTGGAGAAGGAGAATTTGCCTTCCTTACCATGGGTCTCCTGAATGATGTTTGTAGAGGGTGATTCCTCTTGACTCCCTTTAGCCATAGTTTTGGCGCTCTCTATGGTCAACATAGACCAATTGATATAATCTCTGGGCAGTTCACCCAGGTGGTCAGACATCGTTCTTGGGATGGGATGGATCTCCTTCCCAAGAGGTCTGTCTCATCCCTTTAGTGGCACAGAGAGGCTAAGATGGGGCTTATGTGGCTAACTGTGGGTATCTCCAGTTTAAGTGTCTGTATCTGAGCAGCTTGCCTTGACTTCCAGTGAAGAGCTGGTCAATATATGGATCTAGAACATGATTCATCCCCTCCCATCCTACATAGATGAATCACGTCCTAAACTCTGTTGCATTTTGTGTCTATAATGGGAAAGCCAGACAGCTCAGATGCACACAGCTGCATCGCATATACGTAGGGAGAGGGGTGATGAATCTTAGTTAAATGACTATTCCAAGGTCATTTGGGAAATCTGTAGCTGACCAGGGTATCAAACAAGGACATGTTAATGTTTGAACCCAGTGCCTAATACATGAAGAATTTTCAAAATGCTGGTTTTTTAATAAGAAAAGTAGTCAGACCAGGTAGATATTTTAAGACACAAAAATCCTGTTTTCCTGCATATGGTTTCAGTTATAAAACCAGAGGGGAAAACAAATAGAGAAAATATGAAATATAAAAACCGTTGCTTCTAAACAGAATGTTTTTCAAAGGTTTCCATGAGGCGTTGGCTGCTCGGCAAAGCAGACTGTAAAACAACTTTACAAGCCATATTTATTCTAAGAGCTCTACTTATTGAAGTACAATTCAGACTCTTGTTCTGCCGGCCAAGTTCCATAAATTAAACACTTGTCCAATAACACATACCTCTCCACTTGGATTCTCTGTTTCTCTGTTTCTTTTTGGCTTTGTGTATCTTTGTCTCTCTCTCACTTTTTTTTTTTTTT